TTTTATACCAAGACTCCTGTTTTCCGGCCACCACTACTAGTTTATTGAGCAATATACAGGGTTCGTTCAAAGATCATTCAATAGCAAAATACGCGTGTTTACTTTGCAGATATGAAAAACCATTCCGGAAAATAAATGTCATTTTTATGCGTTTTTTTTCTTCTAATTGAATTCAAATATTTCCTATTTGTGAGTAATTGAACAAATGCGCTACGATATTCCAGAAACATACGTAACTATACAAATCTTGAAACATAGCGGATGTGTCTATCATCTTTTGTTGCGAATTAGTTCTCAAATACGAAATGTCTGAATAAACTAGTAGTGATGGCCGGAAAACAGGTATTTTGGGATAAACAATTTAATTGTTAAAAAACTGTTCGACCAAATTTTGTTTATATATAATTTTCGATAAACCATCGTCGCATTACCAGTGCCAAAACCTGCAGTTTTCCTCGGTTTTCGGCCATAACTTTTTTGCTATTAGTCGGATCTTTTTACGTGTGGTCTCATTCTGTAGGTCTCATAAATACCTAAAAATTTAATGTGGAGAGTTTTTTGTTCCTGCCAACACTTTCGATTGAATCCCAAAAAAGACGTTTTCTCATTCTTTGTTGTCGAGTAAAAAGTGTTTCCACAAAAATTGGTGTACCCATTTTATGCGTCCATGTTTTGAATACCCCTTTGAACAACTTGCAGAAATAAAACCCGACTTTACAATTATTTCCCAAACCAGGGGTATTTTCGTCTAATATAATTAGACTGTAAAGTTTGAACTTGTTTTCGTAAGGAAATCGTGTTTTGAGTGTATTCTAGATGGAAATATTATATTTTATGTTACCAAGCTGCCAAAAATTCCTTTTTTACATTTAATTTTAGAGTAGAATGTAAGATGAATTGTTTCGCATCCTTCTGGTCAATAGTCACAAATCGTGAACCATCTCAATAGGAAACTGCTCTTAAGGCATCACTGGAAAAAATAGTTGTAAATGCTATAAATCCTGGAGAAGCAACAATTTAATTCCGCTAATAGAACAAGTAGTAGATGTGATGTGTCAGATCTGGCGAGTTACCAAAAATTTGAAATGGTTTGCGAGACAATATTCTTGCCTATATACAACTTGATGCAAATATAGATAAGTCTTATGAAGAATGTGACACTTATTGAAGCAACGTTTCACATCCTTTTAACCTTCATAAACCCAGACATCAATATTTGGGGGTATTTTCTACAATACCTATTTTGATTCAATTTTCATTGAGGCATGTTCCTTAAATGTATTTCTAATTTAGCATAGAAAATTTTAAAGAAATTGTTGTTTATTGTAACAAGTTATAGTCAGTTTTGTACCTTGTGTGTTTGTATGTAACATTTTACACTATAACAAAACAAAGGGTACAGTACATGAGGAAAAAAGCGGAGAAGACCTTCCAGAAAGCTCAGGACCACCCGAACGAGCAGCTACGATTCCTCATGGACTACGATCCGGACGAGAGGCTTCGCAATCGCAGAACCAGGTACCCTAGACCAAGGTCCCAGTTGGCACCCGCTAACTGGAACCTTGACTAGGAGACTAGGAGAACCCGAGGTTGCTCCCCCCCCCCCCCCACGGCGTGGATGCAGAGGACCAGGAACCACCGGGACCAGGACCCACCGGGACCAGGACCCACCAGGACCAGGACCCGCCACGACCAGGACCCACCAGGACCAGGACCCGCCACGACCAGGACCCACCAGGACCAGGACCCTTCAGGACCAGGACCAGGAACAATATATAGGTAAGAGGACTTGAAACTCTTGATTTTTCGAAAACAAGAGTTTCAAGAGAACGTAGCAGACCCTCTATCGATGATCGCTTAACGACATCGATAGAATGTGCGAGGTAAAGGGAACCAACCCGGCGTTCCCAGAGACTGAAACACATGAGGAGACGTTGTAGCAGACCGCAGGTCACGCACAACACATGGCCTACCGAGACGCTGATGAGTCGGGCCACGCGGAGGTTAGGGCTTAGTGGGTATTAGGTGGTCTCCTCAAGACAACCTGGAGTCCCACACACGCCGTAGCTCGGGCTATGGTATGGTGCATAAACGCATTCCCCCCTCACCAAAAAAAAAAAAAACATACAACAGATGAATTGGCAAAGGAAATGAGGACTCGAAGAATGAGTAATCGGTGGCAGATGGCAATATTTTTCCATCTACTGGACATTGATAGCATCAACGCCTATAAGCTATGGGCGTTGAAAAATCCAGATTGGAGAAAATCGTTTGAATAGAAGAAGAATGTTTTTGTTGAAGTTGGGCCAATAATTAATGAGGAAAACTATAACTCATAGGTACCATCATGACAAGCTTTCACATTCCAATATAAAACGATCCATGTTAACCATTTTGTCAGAATTAAATGTAAGTAATGGACAACCTGTTCCCTTTATTGGCAGACAGCAGCGATGTATCTCTTGCGACTGACGTAAAGACAGGAAATCCCGAAAGTTTTGTATTCGGCGCAATCAATACATATGTCCAGAACATTCAAAAAATGTAACAGTTTGTAGCAAGCTTAAAAATTAAATTACTATTTAAAATGTCACAGATTCTCATATATTATATTTTTCTTAACTATTTTTCTTTATATTATAATGATTTCATATTATTGTTTCCAAATGTGTTTATTTTTTAATGTTTACAGCATATCTATGTAAATATATATATATTTTTTAAATCAGAAAGTGTTTATTTTGATTATTCACAAAAAAATGTTGGGGTACATTTGCACCCCATTTAATGTAAGTTTTTGACCACGGGCTTATGAAGGTTAATGTCATTAACTCAATATCAAGCGATAATCAAATCAACAGTGGTGATGACCATAGGATTTTGATAAAGAAAATGCAAAGTAACCATATCTTGTAAGAACCTTGAGAAACGTATCAGCTGATGGGTCCGAAATATCCTAAAAGGTTATCATGTTCATTATACGGCAGAAAATGGACAAAGCATCAACAAAGTTGTTCATAGTATGAATATCAGTGTCACTTATAAACCGTGTCCCAAATTTCACACAAAATTTGAATTAAATAGAAAACACAACTTTCTGTTTGCATTGCCACTTCTCTACTGAATTATAAAATACAACAAATGGCTTCATTGGTCTTGCTGGCACACACGGAATCTTTTGTCGAAATTTTCCATGAGCTGAATTTCATTAATGTGGAATGAATTTCTTCCACCAGTACACGACTGTTTGTGTGATTCTTTCTGCCTGAATTATATAACATTGTGGACAACTAACTATTCACTTCTTAGTTTCGATGATTAGAATTGGTCCCTAGTTCATGTGACTTAACACCATCGGGTTATTTAAAGTCAAATTTGCATCAGTTGTTATTCGGTACATGATTCAATCTTACGTACTTTATGATTTCGTAAAAAATGTCGATGTAAATAACAAAGTCCGAGTTCTCTATGGAATCCATGTTCTGCGTTTATTTTGAGACACTCAGTAAGTCCAGAACCAAATTACTTCATATCACTCAGCTCGAGCCCGAAGAGATGTACCGAGAGTGTAAATTGTTTTCGTTGGTCTAATGAAATACTGATAACATATATGCTTATCTTCATCATTAGTGCTAACAATAGCGTTTATCGACCTTACATGACTTGCAACAGAAGTTTTTTTGCTAATCAATGACTGTTTATTGTTTGATAAAGTAGTAGGAAATAATTTTAGGAGAATAATGTATACGGCTCGATCTCGTATTTCTTTTTGGATTACCCCCTCCATGCAAATAGGATGTTTCTCCGGCTTACCTACACCTCTCGCCAGGTAAGAATGGGCACACAAGCGGGTAAAGTGGCATCCGGAGTGACAAAATTGCATGTTTGCTTTTACGCTTCAACCTATACCAATCTGATGGTAGGGTCCTTGTTTAAAGGCAACCTGGGAAAGGATACGATATGATGAAGAAAACATGGTTTCATACGAGGCGTTTGGTGGAGGTGGCATAACTGGTTGTGCTGTGGTTATGCACAATGATAAAACCGGACTTTTTATTTCAAACAGGACTTTCAGTGCTGGATTTTAAACAATATTATATATATACCTTTTGCTCAAAATTTGGGGGAGGATTTTGTCGTCATCGTACATAGCCCGTACGGTTATAAACTTTTTGGCAGACAATTATGTTACATTATTGCCTCTGCCATCAAAGTCTCCAGGCCGAAACGTAATTGAGCATGTGTTTTCGACAGAAATTTTTAGTGCGTTCCAGACAAAATGCTGCTCAATCAATAGATGCTGCCTGAGGCCATTTAGCAAGAATGGGAAAACATATCCCGAGAATTTATTAATAACCTTCTGGAAAGTATGTTACGAAGATGCAGGCTGTGATCGATGTGTGGGGTGGTACTACAAGGTACTAACAGTATTGTTTAAATAGCTGTTGCTGTTTTGTAAAAAGTTCGTTTTGTCATAAATGCCAATGTATTATTATTATAACTATTTTCATTTGCTTCACAGGTATTCTGGTATTCTTGACTGACAGGAAAATGAATCCCGAGGTCATCCATAGGCAAAGTTAGTTGAAGAACTTACTGACTATTCTGCAGATACCGAGGATTGCTGCCTTCTGGCATTCCCTTAAATAGTTAAGGTCAAGCTTCAAGACTTTGAGGTTTGTGTGGAAGTTGGCAGAAACAATAAATGGCAGTGTGAATGTTTGCTTTAATTCGTATAGTTTTTGGACCTCGTGTGAGAGCAGTTCATTCTTATTTGTTTTTTCGGTGTAAGTTTTTCGCACATTTTCGTCAACCGATATAAGCAATCTCTTTATTTTTGTCGATTACTAGTATGTCGGGACGGTTGTGATTAATCGATGTGCTGGTCAATATGCTTCAATCCGAATAAATAATGACACTTGATGATTTATGTTTGAACAATGGGACGGATTTGCATGCAGGCTTGAGATGTTCCAAGGTGAGGTGGTTTTTGCAAATACCCTGATGTATTATTTTTGCGGCCATGTTATGCCTCGCCAGGTATTCCGTTGGAGCCAGGGAAGGACATCCAGAGACAATATGTTGGATTGATTCAGCAGTTGTATTGCATCGACGACATCTGTTAGAGTCAATCGGTTGGTTTTGTATATTCTTGATGTAGGGACCACTTGATATTGGATAGCAGGTAAGGCAACAAATATGACAAATAAAATGGAACTGTAAGACAGATAAATATCAAATATATTGTCATTGCCATTGACTTTGAAGAAGAAAGTTAAATGTAATTCGTATACGCGTGTTTTGATTAATCCAGAAAATCATAGAGATCGATCAACTTCTTATAATTACAGTTACTCTCAAACTATAAATGCAGTAAGCTGTGATTCTACCACGCAAAAAGCACATGCTATCTATGTTACGCTATATTTAATTACACTGGCGCCAACTATGAAAATAATTCTCATCCATGTACGAAAGCTTCTACAAATAAACACAAACACACTTATATGCCAGACCGACTACAAATAAATGGGTAAATGACATGTGAAGGCACACGCGCGAATTTTTGCAGTGCACTCACCTCCAAACTGAATGTTAACCAAAATATCGCCCAGAACTCAATCCAACCGACTTTTTCGCGTGCTCTCGACGATGTCCAACCACCACAACGCCCGCTGTTGCTACACTGCCTGAATGTATTATATATATTATATATAATTTTATTAAAGTGCTCCCGTCTTGTTTACAATATTGGAGCTTGCTAGACGTGGAACTAATCTCTCTGGTGCGGTATAGCGTGATATGATACGCAAGTTTGTTTGGAGGTGTATCTGGTCTGTTTTTTTTTTAGCTTTGGAAAGAATTGAGCTGAGGAGATTAGCTGGGTAATTCGATGTATCGATAAACATAACGCTACTACTAATAATGGAGAACTTAACAGGGCGTATAGAAATTGGAGAAAAGATGGGAGAGTTATGGTCTTGGCATGCAATAGCCTCTGATCTACTATACTACAACTACTTGAAACTGTAATGACTCATACGCGTGATCAACACGTGATCAGAGCTCGATCCCGGCTTCCTTCCAGTACAGCCGTATAGCGTACGACATATATCGTTTCTGTGGCTTTGCGGTGGTCAACAGCACAGACAGAGATGGAAATAATGGCTGATTGTTCTCCGCCGGTAGAACCAATGAAATCAAAGACGCGCCTCGACCGGCAGACTCATAGGCGTCGGCAACGCATTGGAACGTGTTTCGTTGAGCGATCGCATATTGTGTGTTTTTATAAGAATTGTTGTGTGATTGTTATTGTTGTGGTTTCTGTGGTTACTGTTTTGGTTATACTTAACCACGGAGAGTACAAATGGCACGAGTGGAAGTACTGAAAGCCAGGGAACAAGTAGACGGCTTCGTAAAGCACTGAAGAGGGACGCGAAAGAAATCGTGCTCAACGTGTTCAATTATCTGAACAGAACTATGTCGCAGGGAGATGCACTCGCGCATTGTGAAAGTATGACAGGCGTTCCAGAGTGGACCATTCGCAGGGTGGTGCATGAAAAGAAGAAAACTGGAGCTACTACTGATCCAAAGTTTAATTTGAAGGGACGAAAGGCCGTTAAATTGGATGACGATAGCAAAATGGCGTTAAGGCGAACCGTACATTCATTCTTCTTTAGGAATGAGATACCAACCCTCAAGGCCGTACATGCAGCGATCAAGGAAAATGAAATTATACCCCAAATGAGCGTCGAGGTAATGAGGAAATCCCTGTACGAAATTAATTTTCGTTACGAAACGCGTAATCGGTCAGTATTGATAGAGAGACCTGAAATAGTCGCCTGGCGTCGAAAATACCTACGCGAAATGATTGAATATAGGCGACAAAGCAGAAAAATCTATTATTTGGACGAGACATGGGTAAATGCAGGTCACACAGTTAAAAAAACCTGGATAGACAAAAACGTAGTGAGTAACCGACAAGCACGCATTGAAGGTTTGTCAACAGGTCTTCGTGGACCGTCAGGGAAAGGTCAAAGATTGATCGTAACTCATATTGGTAGCGATAGTGGCTTTTTAGAAGAGTGTGACTTGATTTCCGTCTCTAAGAAAGGAGGTGATTACCATGACGAAATGAATGCCAGCTGCTTCAAGAGCTGGTTTCAAGGGGTGCTTCAGCGAGTTGAGCCCAACTCTGTGATCGTCATGGCTAATGCTTCCTACCATAGTCGTCGAGCCGAACGTGTACCGACTATGGGATCTCGAAAAAGTGACATGCAGCAATGGTTGCGCGAAAAAGGAATCTCGTTTGACGATTCATGTGTGAAAGCGGAGTTGTATGAAAAAATGAAACAGCTCAAACCTGCGAACATTAGTTACGTGACTGATGAGATGGCCCGTCAATGTGGTGTCACTGTGCTGCGGTTACCGCCCTACCACTGTGAACTGAACATAATAAACTGAACATCTGGGCTCAAGTGAAGGGTTATATTGCGCGCCATAACACAACCTTCAAATTACCAGACGTTAAGGTTTTACTTGAGACTTTCATACAGCTAGTAACGCCCGAAGCTTGGCAGAATGCTATCCGTCATGTTGTGAAGGAAGAAACAAAAATGTGGCAGCTTGACCACCATATCGACACCATCATAGAGCCAGTTATAGTCAATTTCAACTAGGAAAGCGATAGCGACAGTTTATTACTGTCAGATGTAAGTGGAAGCGATGATGAATAAAGGTAATTCCCAAATTTTTGACTTACAATATGTTTCAAACCACTCTTTATTAAGCATGTGACAAATCTAGTTCACCCATGTTAAACATTCATGCCCCGCCTATGAACAGCCGACTACTGGTAGTTAAGTGATGTTCACGTGAACATCGATGAGTCATTACAGTTTTAGATAGTTATAGTATAGGGTTATTCTGAACAATCTCCGGGATTTGTTTCTTGACTCTATCGTTTACCCTCAGACTACCGCTGGCTTCCTAAACCGAATTCATCCCTCTTTAGAGGTAATTCTCCATGGTGATTTCAATGCCCACGATAAAATCTGGCTGATCCCAAACAAAACTGGTGCAGCGGCCATAAAGCATTTTCCACTAGCCAAGCGCCCACCCTACTGCTCACCTGCTTTCCGTCCTTGCATTTAGCCGCATACCAGGTGTATGCTGGATGGCTTCATGATCATGCCTCCTCACTCTGTAAAAAAATCATAGGCGATTTAACCTCGAGTACTGCTCACACGTTTGGAGTGCTGTTGCCGCGGGCAGACCGACTGATCGATGACTCTTCTCTAACGGAGAGTCTCAGGACCCTCGTGCACTGGCGGGCCATCGGCGATTTAGCCCTCTACTACCGCTACCAACGGGCTTTGCTCCTCAGAGCTCTTCTCCATGACGCCGCTCCGCGATGTGCCAGACAGACCCGCACGACCGGCCTCCCATCGTAACAGGCTGATATGACCGCTCCTTGTCACCAGGATATCGAGATTGCGGAACATGAGGAGGCTTTTCCCACTTCTACTAATCTTAGGCAGTTCAAAGTTTCTTTAAGTTCCTCATAGCAGCCGAGGTGCCCTGGAATTTAGACTTCTGTCTGCAAAGTTATTTTGGTGTAAAAAATTCATTCTGTCCTTTACAGCGCAGATGTCTAGACTTCTTTGGATAACTCGAGCCATGGTATTGTGAAAGTAAGTTTTAATCGGATTTGACTTCAATGATAGGCTGCCTAGATTACTGGCAACCATGTCAAGTATCAGGTAAGACGGTATTTATTCGTCGAAGTGATTGCCTTCACATTCAATGACCTTTTGCCAACGTGAAACCAATTTGCCTGTATTGAACATTGAAATCCATTTATTACACGATCTCGAGTTGTGAGCTGTCGGTGCCTCATACAGTTGTCAAGAGACAAAAAAAGGAGATAATCACTAGGCGAAATATGAGGAGAATATGGCAGGTGCGGTAACGTTTCCCAGCTGAGTTCAGAAATTTTTTCTCGGGTCACTTTTGCAGTATGAGGCATGGTGTTATCCTGCAAGAATATCACTTTATTCCGATTGATCAAAGAAGGCTATTTCTGGGTGAGTGCTGCTTGTACTCGTTGAAGCTGTTCACAATACAAGCAGTGATGGTTTGACCCCTTTCCAAAAACCTCATAATGGACAATTCCAGTTGCTGTCCACCAAACACACAACAAAACCTTGTTTAGGTGCAAGGAAACCTTGGGCATGTGTGGTACCGAATCAGTAGGCGACAACCAATGATACAAACGCTTAGAATTCGAATACAAGATCCATTTTTTGACGCAGGTTAATAACCGATTAAGAAATGGTTCATTAGCATTGCGTAGAATGTTTGCTGAGCAGATGGTAAGACGATTTAATTTGTTATCATTTGTCAGTTCATGTGGGATCCATTTGCTTAACTTCCACCTCTTTCCTAGCTGATGAAGATGCAAACGAATACTTTCAGGGCTCTGAACATTTCGACAACTTCAATAACCTGTCGAAGATCCTCGTTGTTCATGATTTTTGGTCTCCCTGTACGCGGTTCATCGCTCAAACTGAGATCTCCCGAAGAACATTTTTTGAACCACTTCTGTGCTGTTCCATCACTAACCAAGTTTGTACTCATACGGTAAACAACTTCGAATTACTGCTTTATTCGTCGCCATTTTCAATTATCAAAACTAGGTATTGTAACGGTTTCACCGACCGATCGTATTTATTAAATCACTTCTCGATTATCATTTCATTAATCCCATCTCTAGCTTTTTTACTTGGAAAAATTTCCGCATGGAGCGCGCTTGATGCGGAGTTCTTGATCTGCGATCTTCCTCGCGCTTCCTTTTCACTTGAGCCGCCGATCTAGCAAGAGCTAAGAATTTTGTTCTCTGTAGCATGAGGTCATATAGCGCCATGTGCTAGCGGTTTGTAGAATGTGTGTCCGAATAGGACAAAATGGTGAGTTTTATAATACTATACAGTTTTATTGCTGGGTCTGCCTGTAGTTTATAGATAGTCAATATGTAAGTGGTTTATTTCTTGTACGATTTTAAAATATCCATCGAACGTCATTTTCGACTACTTCGATCATTCGCCATAACTTTAGTCAAATCGAGGTAGAAATCGATCCACATCGATTTTACCTCTGTGTGCGTATATATACAGGGTGACTTCAAAGTTGAGTCATTTATTTTAACAGTGAGTAGATCTGATCAAAAGAAATGTTTTTTTCCTTTACCATTTTTCTGGTAAAATTAAAGTAACAAAGTTATAGCCCTTTGGAAGTTTGAGTACCGCCCTGTCTCAATAATAATATCATGTGCTCGTGTTTGGCAATAACGGATATAGTCCACCTTATCGGTTCATCGCATCGGAAACAAGAAAGCGAAAGAATTTGGAACGATGTTTTTACAATTAGTTTATTCAGTTCAGTTATACATACAGTCAGTGTCAGTCGCGTGTGAATAGTGTCTGTTGCGTGGCTCAAACGAAATAAAAAATGGCACATGTTTATGCGGATCGGTTTCCCAATCGAGTGCAACCAACCCCTCGTGCCTTTGTTAATGTAGTACAACGGGCTCGTGAATCAGGTGACTTAAGACCTCACAGGGGACCTCACGATCAAATACAGGTCCGCACTGAAATACTTGTCGGGAGGATACTTTATAAAACAAGGTAAAAATTTTTTTTTATTTTTTTTTATTTTTACACACATATTTTGGTTTATCTTCCTTCTACAATCATTATCTGAAAATTAATGACACTTCAAAGTCATAGTTCAGTGAAATTATGAGTACGTTGATTATGAATATTCGATATTTGTGTTTTTATA